GCTCTCAGTGGGAGGTTTTAGCAACAGAAGCAGTGCTGTCAATACAGAGAGCAGTAGGAAGGACTAGGTGTGATAAGGTTTTGACTGAGAGGTAGAGATGATGAAATCTGCTTGGGTTCGGTTTGTGGGGGGTTTGGTAAGCCCTGCTTAAAATCTGTGAAACCTGAAACTGGCTGTGAACTCCTTCAAAGTCTAAGGAGGGGGTGACTCTTAATAAATTCTGGTCATTTTCAAGGATAATAGGCAGGCTATTGTCTATTGGCTATTACAGAATCACATATGTTGACAAACAATGGCCTGGGCTTTCTTAGGCTCATTGTCTGGCTGATATGAAAAACAATTTTACAGATTTGTTTTTTAATCATTTAGTTTTTCCCCCATAAGCCCTGGTCAAGCAAACATGGGCAGGAATGGCAAAGCAAACTGGGTCAAAAATGGCAGCTGGGAAAAGGGACCCAAAAGGGACCCAAAGGAGTTCTGGTGGAAGACTTGCTCCCCCCTTGGTTCTGCAGTCTTTCTCCAGGGACGAGAGGGAAAAGGTAGTCAGCAGCAGCAAAAATTAAGCAAACAATCCTACAGCCATAGATTGCTTGCCCTTCCCCAAAGCAGCACTAGCCAATACCCACCTTTCCATTTACAATAAAAACATTCCTATGCCAGGATTTTGCTTGAATGAAAGGAAAATAACCCCCCCCCCCACACACACACACACACACACACACACACGTAGCATATTTTCATGAAAAGTCTGTTTTAAACCCTTCTGTTGTCTCCCAGCCAGCAAGATAGAGTAATAGAAGGAGAAGAGTTGGGGTGCTGCTGATGAGGAGAAGGGTTGTGGTTCTGATGGTGAGGAGGGAGAGGGCTGGCAGTGCTGACAGTGAACAGAATGAAATTTGGGGCAGCTTCAAGGGGGAACTTCAACCTATCCCTGATCCAAGGGGAGAATGGTAGGGGGATCTCTGCCACTATGCACAAAGCACCCACTAAAGAGGTAGCATAGAAAAGCACCTCTTTGCTGCATCCCCTTATGGTGGCTCAATCCACTGGTCTATAGGCATAGGTGAAGGGTATCTTTGTTTCATACTTGTTGCTAAAACAAGAAAGACTGCTTTCATATGTGGAACCTCACTGCATACTCTGCACAACAGAGATATGCTCCAAAGCCTTCCCATGTAGTCCTCCCATGTGCCATAGCTGGCATTAGATTTATTTTGTCTGGTGGCTTTATTTCACCCATTTATGTATCCCAGTCTAAAACATCAACATCATACGTAGTGTATTTTAAATCACTTGTGTTAAGCCCCATTTTAAACAGGACCCCCAGGAACCATTTTACCATGAAGAAATCAGCATTGCTCATGTGCCCAGTATTTAATCATTTATAAACAGAATTCCCAAACACCATTTTAAAATCAAGAAGTCAGCATTACATTGAATGCTAAGCAGCTTTTCTAACCCATATTATCAAAGGTATAGAACAGTCAGGAATCACTGTAAAATAAAGGCACAGCCATGGGTAAAGAATTCTCACCCAACAGTCTACAGATCCCTATTCATTTTGAAAAGTAAGTTATATGGTTTACATACATTTTTTTCCATGGTAGATGCAAAACCTTCCTGACCCCTACTATCTGCTTGTGCATTACCCCTGTCTCCCTATTTCTGTTACAAGTGATATTGAATCACTTGTAATAGGCCTCATTTTGATCAGGACCTCCAACAGCCATTTTCAATTAGAAATTAACAATACATTGAATGCTATGTATGCAGCTTTTGTAGGCCATTTTTAAAGGTTGAGAGGTAAATTAAGGGCCCTTTCACACAGGCTTTCCAGTCAGATCCGCCAGTCAGTTTTTGCTAGGCAGACCTGTTTAGAAGCTTGATGCAGCTCAGCTCTATCGGCAGCCTGATGTAAATGGACTTGTGTGTGTTTACACCCTCCTACCTCCGAGTCCTTCCAGGTCCTGAAAAACAAAATAAAAAGGACTGCATACTTTTCCATTTTTCTGGACCTAAATGTGATGGATCGTATTTTGCCTGATGTAAATGGACACATGTCAGTTTACAGCTAATTGCCCATAGAGCTATCACTGGTCCACCTGTGTCTGCCAGACACAAACTGAATGGTTATGGATGTAAAAAACTGACATCTCACCCATTCAACTCCATTTCAGCAAGGGATCCACGCATGAATCCCCTGCTGATCGAAGTGGCCATAAAAATTAAAGAATAATATGCAAACTACGGACAGTGGTCCAGACTGTATAGTAGTCCATGAAGTCCACTCTTTACTTTGAAGAGTAATTCACATGATTTTGACACATATTTTCATTTGCTGATACAGAACCTTTTAAACCCCACAAAGCTGTGTGTACAAAACCTCTGCCTCCTGCATGGTATGCACACTGTACTGAATCACTTGTACTTGGCTCCATTTTGAAAAGGAGCCCATCATCTATTTTAAAATCTAAAAATCAACATAGTTTGTTATTTGTATATAAAAAAATATTGTGCCCACCACATACACAGGCTTAACCACCTCAGTAGGGGTCCAATTCTGACATTTTGTTCATGCTTGTAAATATCTGCATTCTTGCATTTTTTGCTAGAAAGTTACTTAGAAACCCCAAACATTATACACTCACTGGCCACTTTATTAGGTACACCCGTTCAATTGCTTTGTAACACAAATTGCTAATCAGCCAATCACATGGCAGCAACTTAATGCATTTAGGCATCTAGATGTGGTGAAGACAACTTGCTGAAGTTCGAACCGAACATCAGAATGGGGAAGAAAGGGGATTTAGGTGATTTTGAATGTGGCATGGTTGTTGGTGCCAGACGGGCTGGTCTGAGTATTTAAAAAACTGCCGATCTACTGGGATTTTTATGCACAACTATCTCTAGGTTTTACAGAGAATGGTCCAAAAAAGAGAAAATATCCAGTGAGTGGCAGTTGTGCGGACGAAAATGCCTTGTTGATGTCAGAGGTCAGAGGAGAATGGGCAGACTGGTTCAAAATGATAGAAAGGCAACAGTAACTCATGTCAATATGGACCAAAATCTCTGAGGAATGTTTCCAACACCTTGTTAAATCTATGCCATGAAGAATTAAGGCAATTCTGAAGGCAAAAGGGGGTCTGACCCGGTAATAGCAAGGTGTACCTAGTAAAGTGGCAGGTAAGGGTATATTTTTTAAGCAGAGGCCCTAGAGCAGTGGATTTCAACCTTCCTAATGTTGCGACCCTTTAATACAGTTCCTCATGTTGTGGTGACCCCCAACCATAAAATTATTTTTGTTGCTACTTCATAATTGTAATTTTGCTACTCTTATGAATCGTAATGTAAATATCTGATATGCAGGATGTATTTTCATTGTTACGCCCTGATTGAAAAACAATTGGGAATTCATTATCTTTGTAGGAACTGTTACACGCCAGTCTGACCCTACTACACACACACCACCAGCTCATATCATATTATATACCCATCTCCATGGTAACTGTGTAGTATTTGTATTCAGAAATGATCAGATTATATACCAGAAAGTTATTTTGGAAGTGACTTTTGCTTTCTGTTCCCTTCATGCATACAGAAGCCCCTGGACCTCCAGCAGCCCTGGTTCTGTCCTCTGCCCTATACACAATATTACATTATTGTCACTCATACCTGCTCCAGGAGCCTTGCCACAGTCCAGGAACACACAATAGGCAGAGCAGGGCACTCCAGCAGTTCAACTCTTTCTCTGTTTGTAAAATTTCCTGTTGGGCCACAACAAAATGACCGTTCTTTTATGGCTTTCTCGCCTCCTGCTTTACGAGAAAATGGCCGCGTTGGTCTCTACGGGTCCTGAAGGATCCAATTGGAACGGCGAGCACATCATGTGGAATGCACGGATCCGCCAGCTCTGTCTGTTGGCTCTGTCACGCTTGGCTATGATAGGGGCGGGGCTTGAGGTAGGAGGCTTTGTGATAATATGCTCATGAATATTAATGAGTAAGGAGGATTTAAACTCATATGTGGGCATATCAGCATGTGGGCGGACCCGCCTGGAGACGGATAGAGGAGCTGTGTCTCGGTTCCTAAGACCATCGGAAATATGTGTTTTCCGATGGTCTTAGGTGACCCCTGTGAAAGGGTCATGACCCACAGGTTGAGAACCACTGCCCTAGAGAATAAATTGGTAGATGTTGCAATTTTTTATATCACATGATATCTGTTCAGTGGCTTTTCAAATGCAATTTTTTTGGGGGAAAAATACACCTTAATGAATTTTAATGCACAAAAACACAATATAATACTCAATTATTTGGCAAAATATAAAAGATGATGTTACGCTGAGTAAATTGATGCCTAACATGTCATGCTCAAAAATTACATACGCCCGTGGAATGGCGACAAACTACGTTACTAAAATATCTCCATAGGTGAAGCTTTAAAAGCCTTTACAGGTGTCCAGTTTAGAATTACACAAGAGGTCTGGTGCTAGAATTAGAGATGAGCGAATTATTCAAAAATTCGATTCGGCTGATTCGCCGAATTTGCGGAATAAATTCGATTCGATGCGAATTTATTCGCTGCGAATTTAACTTATTAAAAGGGTTTCTAGGCTTCAGAGAGCCTTTATATTAGTGCAGAACACTGTACCTTTAATTTAAATGCCCTTGGAGTCTGCTGGGGAAGAGAAATAATACTGTCAGTCAGTATGACATGCAGATGAGTGCCGTCGATCTTAGAATCACCGCACACTTCACTCATTTGGGCAGTCACGGGGCACGACGAAGAAGATGAAGAAGAAGATGAAGAAGAAGAAGAAGATGAAGCAGAAGCAGAAGATGAAGAAGAAGAAGAAGATGAAGAAGATGAAGAAGATGAAGAAGAAAGAAGAAGATGATGAAGAAGATGATGATGAAGAAGATGATGAAGAAGAAGATGATGAAGAAGAAGAAGATGAAGAAGAAGAAGATGAAGAAGAAGAAGAAGAAGATGAAGAAGATGAAGAAGAAGAAGATGAGGATGAGGAAGAAGAAGAAGAGGATGAGGATGAAGAAGAAGAAGAAGAAGAAGAAGATGAGGATGAAGAAGAAGAAGAAGAAGATGAGGATGAGGAAGAAGAAGAAGAGGATGAGGATGAAGAAGAAGAAGAGGATGAGGATGAAGAAGAAGAAGAAGAAGAGGATGAGGATGAGGATGAAGAAGAGGATGAGGATGAAGAAGAAGAGGATGATGGTGAGGAAGAAGAAGAAGAAGAAGAGGATGAGGATGATGAAGAAGAAGAAGAAGAAGAAGAAGAGGAGGAGGATGAGGATAAAGAAGAAGAAGAAGAAGAAGAAGAAGAAGAGGATGATGAAGAAGAAGAGGATGAGGATAACACAAAAAAAAAAAAAAAAAAAAAAAAAAAAAAAAAAAAAAAAAAAAAAAAAAAAAAAAAAAAAAAAAAAAAAAAAAAAAAAAAACAAAAAAAAAAAAAAAAGAAGAAGAAGAGGATGAAGAAGAATAGAATGAGGATGAAGGATGAAGAAGAGGATGAGGATGAAGAAGAAGAGAGAAGAAGAGGAAGAGGATGAGGATGAAGAAGAAGAAGAAGAAGAAGAAGAAGAAGGATGAGGATGAAGAAGAAGAAGAAGAAGAAGAGGATGAGGATGAAGAAGAAGAAGAAGAAGAAGAAGAAGTAGGATGAAAATAAGAAGAATTCCAGTACAGCAAAAAGTGTATCTGCAGAGAGCTCCGCTATTTCTGACAGTTCTCTGACAGTTCCTTCAAATTTACAGCGGTTGAAACATTGTATCTATTTGTTTCCGAATAAAAACATCTGTATCCTAAATGGAAACAAATAGATACAATGTTTCAACCGCTGTAAATGTGAAGGAACTGTCAGAGAACTGTCAGAAATAGCGGAGCTCTCTGCAGGGACACTTTTTGCCTGCTGTAGAAGGGATGAAAATCGGCCGATCGGGAAAAATTTGATTCGTGCATCCGAAGTTTGCTAATTTTCGGATTCGACGCGAATCGAATTTTTCCTAATATTCGAAACGAATTCCACTTCGCCAAGTTCGATTCGCTCATCTCTAGCTAGAATTATTGCTCTCTCTATATAACAGTTGAGTCAATACTTCACATGTGTGATGGGAACACCGTCTACATGTGTGCCGGACCTACATGTGCGTTAGCCTTTGCATGTGAGCATAGCGGGCATGGGGCCTTGGTGCTTTAATTTTTTTTAAAATATTTTTATTTACTTTTTTTTACACGGTCTCTTTATTTTTTTTTTATCACTGCCCATGCTATCACATCCCTTGTGATAGCATAGGCAGTGAGAGGTACTCTTTACTGAGATATTTGGTGAGATCAGTTTGATCAGATGCTGTTACAAACCAGTAATGGCTTTTGAACAACAAACTGAAACTGGAAGTGGAAAAATACTAGTTGCTTTTGGTTTCATAGGCCATAGAGATGATCATGAAACTTCTGTTCCTCCTTCATCTCTATGGTAAGCTAGCAGAACCGCTGGCATCAGTCCTGGGCTCCCTTGTGGTATGGGAGAACCCTGAAAGGCAGAGGAAGGTGGTCGGTGGACCCCTTACACCCCATGTAAAAGCAATCCAGTGGCTCTACAGCCACAGGGGATTGCATTTACATTACACAGCATCGCTGAAAACATTGATACCGAAGATCATCACTCCAACCCAGGTATGACCACTTCAACCCAAGGATGTATGGGTATATCCCAGGGGTGGGCAAACTTTTTGACTTGAGGGCCGCAATGGGTTCATATATTGGACCCGGGGGCCGGACCAAGAGTAGATGAATGATGTGTATGTGTCATCCATAGTAAGTATAGTAATATTCCCCCATAGTAAGCATAGTAATTAATCCCCCATATAGTAATTCATCCCCCATATAGTAATTCATCCCCTATAGTAATTCATCCCCCATATAGTAATTCATCCCCCATAGTAATTCATCCCCCACATAGTAATTCATCCCCCATATAGTAATTCTTCCCCCATATAGTAATTCATACCCCATATAGTAATTCATCCCCCATAGTAATTCATCCCCCACATAGTAATTCATCCCCCACATAGTAATTCATCCCCCATATAGTAATTCATCCCCCATAGTAATTCATCCCCCATATAAGTAATTCATCCCCCATAGTAATTTCATCCCCCATATAGTAATTCATCCCCATAGTAATTCATCCCCCATAGTAATTCATCCCCCATATAGTAATTCATCCCCCATAGTAATTCATCCCCCATATAGTAATTCACCCCCCATATAGTAATTCATCCCCCATAGTAATTCATCCCCCATATAGTAATTCATCCCCCCTATAGTAATTCATTCCCCATATTAATTCATCCCCCATAGTAATTCATCCCCCACATAGTAATTCATCCCCCATATAGTAATTCATCCCCCATATAGTCCCCATAGTAATTCATCCCCCATATAGTAATTCATCCCCTATAGTAATTCATCCCCCATATAGTAATTCATCCCCCATAGTAATTCATCCCCACATAGTAATTCATCCCCCATATAGTAATTCTTCCCCCATAGTAATTCATACCCCATATAGTAATTCATCCCCCATAGTAATTCATCCCCCACATAGTAATTCATCCCCCACATAGTAATTCATCCCCCATATAGTAATTCATCCCCCATAGTAATTCATCCCCCATATAGTAATTCATCCCCCATAGTAATTCATCCCCCATAGTAATTCATCCCCCATATAGTAATTCATCCCCCATAGTAATTCATCCCCCATAGTAATTCATCCCCCATATAGTAATTCATCCCCCATAGTAATTCATCCCCCATATAGTAATTCACCCCCCATATAGTAATTCATCCCCCATATAGTAAATCATCCCCCCTATAGTAATTCATTCCCCATATTAATTCATCCCCCATAGTAATTCATCCCCCACATAGTAATTCATCCCCCATATAGTAATTCATCCCCCATATAGTAATTCATCCCCCACATAGTAATTCATCCCCCATATTAATTCATCTCCCATAGTAATTCATCCCCCATATAGTAATTCATCCCCCATAGTAATTCATCCCCCATAGTAATTCATCCCCCATATAGTAATTAATCCCCCATAGTAATTCATCCCCCATATTAATTCATCCCCCATATAGTAATTCATCCCCCATATAGTAATTCATCCCCCATAGTAATTCATCCCCCATATAGTAATTCATCCCCCCTATAGTAATTCATCCCCCATATAGTAATTCATCCCCCATATAGTAATTCATCCCCCATAGTAATTCATCCCCCATAGTAATTCATCCCCCATATAGTAATTCATCCCCCATATAGTAATTCATCCCCCATAGTAATTCATCCCCCATATAGTAATTCATCCCCCATAGTAATTCATCCCCCATAGTAATTCATCCCCCATATAGTAATTCATCCCCCATATAGTAGTTCATCCCCCATATAATAATTCATCCCCCATAGTAATTCACCCCCCATATAGTAATTCATCCTCCATAGTAATTCATCCCCCATATAGTAATTCATCCCCCATATAGTAATTCATCCCCCATATTAATTCATCCCCCATAGTAATTCATCCCCCATATAGTAATTCATTCCCCATATTAATTCATCCCCCATATTAAGCCCCCCCTGTGTCAATTCACTTACCTTTTCTCCGCGCGTTCCTCTCGCCGTATTCCCGCGCCGTTCCGGTGTAGCATGAAAATCTGCCTCCTATGAGGATCTGTCCCCCTCGACGTATCTGCGCATGTGCCAGTTTCAGGCATTAGCAGCCGATCGGCGATCTCCGGCACATGCGTAGATACGTCGAGGGGGACAGATCCTCATTGGAGACAGATTTTCATGCTACACCGGTCTTCAGGGCGGACTGTGAGAGGAGCCTAGCGGGAGCCTAGCTCCGCGGGCCGGATTAAAAGGTCCGCCGGGCCGTATATGGCCCGCGGGCCGTAGTTTGCCCATTGCTGGTATATCCTATGGGTGGGAAGTACTTAAATTATTGTACTAGTCCCCTGTTTGAACCAGACATCCAACATCCATTTTTAAACGTAGAAATAAGCATTACAGTCTCATTTATTCACTACTTTTGGCTCTGTAATTTAATTTTGAAGAAATAATTTCTTGTTGTATTTTGCTGCCTCCTTGTAACATCCTCCACAAGTTATTGGACCTCTCCTCTTTCCACTCACTTCTATTTGTTTGAAATGAGAAGTGCATGCTACTTGTGGTTATGTGCAATGCTCTGTGAGCACTACAAATCCCATAGTCCATAGTCCCTAGTCCATCTCTGGAGTGAGAAAGAGAAGGTGGCTATGTTGCTGCATACAGTAGGTCCATGGAGAATGAATTAGCCACCCTTGAACAGAAAGTCCTATCATGGAATGTGGAGATTTGGAAGAGGCTGAGAGCAATAGAAGTAATTTTTTGAGTTAAGGATATATACTAAGATATATTTTTAAACCAGAGTTATTGTCATAGTTCCCATTTTAAAATGGACCAGCAACAGCCATTAAAAAGTCAAGAAATTGTCATTACAGTGTGATTTCTTCTCAGAAAAAAGCCCACAAAAGATTATTGTGCCTACGTTCCCAGTACTAATTTTATTGCGGTCAGGTCTGTTTTAACAGGACCACCTACAGCCATTACTAAATCTAGAAATCAATATTACAGTATCATTTATTCCCAGAAAAAACACCCCAAATATTGTAATGAGTGCATTAAGTTCCTGCTATTAACCACTTCAAGTCCGGACACTTTCACCCCATTCCTTTCCAGGCCAACTTTCAGCTTTCAGTGCTATCATATTTGAATGACAATTCCGCGGTCATGCAACACTGTACCCATATGAATTTTTGTAGCATTTTTTTGAGACAGATAAAGCTTTATTTTGGTGGTATTTATTCACCACTGGGATTTTTATTTTTTGTTTGCTATATAAATGAAAAAGTCCAAAAAGTTTGAAAAAAAGTGTTTTTCTTATAAAAGTTTGCAAATAAATAATATTTCATCATAAATTTTGGCCAAAATTTATTCAGGTATCTTTTTAGTAAAAAAAAATAACCCAAATTAGTTTATAACCAAAAATGTTTACATTTTTATTTACTTTTTTTATATTATTTTTTTTTTCTACATGCTGTCACCCTAGCAGTACAGTGTCACCATGGTGACACTGTACTACTTGTTGGGGTGATGAAGATTTTTTTTTTTTTTTACACTGATTGCTTTTACACCCATAAAGGCTGCAAAAGCAATAATTTCTCCTTCTCTCTGGCTGCATTCTTGCAGCCATTGAGAACTACTGTGTGAGCTGTGATTGATCACAGCTTGTCACATGGTACGAGGCTATTGAGAATAGCCTCGTACCATGTGACCTCTGTAATCATTCACAAATTTGACATGTAGTAAGCAATGATGACAGAAGTGACATCTTGCTTACTACTCTGCATGTGATCACTGATTGGCCAATCAGTGATCACATGATCGGGACCTTGCACAGAGGTCCCGTACGACGATCAGTGTTCCACTGTGTCCGGTGACACAGCGGGCACTGGATCGCAGTGCTGCGCGCTCCCAGGGAGCGTGCACAGTCCAAAATGGCGGGCGCCATTTATGAACGGCAACCCGCCCCTGGACTGCCACCGTCCGGCCGTTTATATACAGCGGCAAGTGGTTAAGTTATTTGCCCTAAAGCCCACAAGTTTGAAAAGGATCACCTACAGCCCTTTTTAAATATACAAATTAACATTACAGCATAATTCTTCCCAGAAAGAGCACCCAAAATA